TTTTGAAAATGTTCCGGAAATACTGCGTCCTTTAAACATATATCAAATTAAAGCTTTTTTTATGTACTATAAAATGAAAAAAAAAATTTGTCCCGACGACCTATCTTCTATGCGCAAATGGCTACCGTATTCAAAAATATGTTATTTTAACAAATTTATTTTTTTTAATTAAACACTGTCTACAGATTTGCATCGAAGCGTTTTTTATGATAGTGATTTTAATCACTGTCAGATATCATCTATACTGGACCCAACTATGCCACAACCCCACTGTGCTGGGTTTTTTAAATAACATTTTGAGTCATTTAACATCCCTTCTGGTGTTATACAAATCTTGTTCCTTATTATAGTTCTAATATTAGTTTTAACCACTATGATTTTACGGTTATTGAAATATTTGAGATTTTACGTGCTTTATCATATGATAAATGGAGGTTTCCCCCATTTACGTGGAACGAGGGAAATTTTTTCAATTTTTGAAGGTAATGTCTAGATACGATTTGTGATCTTTTGACATATCGTTGAAAGAAATGGGTTCGGTGAGAGCTGAGAAAAAGTGGTAACTGACACAAAAAAAACCCAACACAGTTGGGTCGCGGCATAGTGGGGACGTTGAATAGTTGGGTCCAGTATAGATTTAATCTGATTAAAATCACTATCATAAGATACGCTTCGATGCAAATCTGTAGATAATATTTAATTTTAAGAAGTTGGTGGATAGTTACAAAAGCAACATCAACTATTTCCTTAATTATATCCAGATTAGTAATTCTTAAATTCAAAAATATTTTATAAAATTATATATTATATAATTGTTTTCAAATTATTATTGATTTTGATTTTTAATATGTTAAAAGTAATCATTTTAAACCTACTTTTTTTTTGTCCTTTAAAGTGAAAGTTTTAATAAAAAAAAAATGAATTTGTTACCATAACTTATAGTTCAACTTGCAAGTTTGAAATCGACATTATTAAATAGAAAAAAATGAAATTGTTAAGATTAATATGCAATCTGGAAATTTTATAATTACTATTTACAGTACATTTTTCAGAAAATTTCGATTTTTTTGTATTTTTATCATAATAGATCACTTAAATAAAAATCATAGGAATCATTTCTAATTAACTTTTGGCGTTTAAAAAGATTCTACAATGGAAATATTGAGAACTTAATTAATTTTAATGATTTTCTTTAACTAAATGAACCAAACAAAAGAAAGTTGTTAAAAAGATTTACTCAATTGAACTTATTATAAAATTTGATTATAATTCTAAAAATCCATCGTTAAATTAAGGTGTAACTTAAGATTTTAATAACAATGTTAATAACAGAGGCTGTTTTTGGTGGTGTTTTTAGTCAAAATACTAAAATCGCGTTGAACAACCAGTAATAATTTTTTTAAAATTTAAAATCTTCACAAAATGCCTATTTTAATGTATATAATAAAGTTTATATGATTCTCATTAAAATTTCGAAAATCGACTTTTTTGATCTTCCCTAGCCTATACACATGCCTAGTGAATCAATTACCACACAAGTTTACCTGCTGGTATTAAACACTTTATTCTTTAGGCCTTCTCCGTTTTTAATAACTTTATTTCCTTACTTGTTGTCTCCATGTACATCCAAGGTGGACTCCTCATACTTTTTGACAAAATTTTACTCCTGCTGTTGACCTCACACAATCTCTTTAGTCGCCTCTTACGATTGGCAGAGTGGCTGTGGAAGTATTGTTATTCCCTTCCACGGAAAATTATTTTAATAACATTTAAAAGTAATAATGTAAGAAATATAGAAGATGGCAGATAAGACAAACAATAAGAAACAGGTCAGATTTTACGAAAACTTTAAAGAAACATTAAAAATCAAGAAGTTGATAAATCTCCCATTGCTAAATATTTATTAACATATAATCACTTCATTAAAACCATATAACAAATTAAAAACTTAAATAATTACAAAGAACTTAATTAAGAGTAGCAAAATAAATTTTTAAAAATAAGTATAATTTAATTAATTGGGATCTTGGAACTCTGAAAAATTCGTTATTAAATTTGTGTAAATTGGAAAGTATGACAATTAACGAGATTATAAGGTCATTAGGGGTATTGAATATTTTTCGGTCGAGTGTTGGTATGTAATTAGTGTTTATAACTATAACATTGTTCCCTAAATACTTATCAATAAATTTTTAGTAATTTTTGTATCTTTTTCAGTTAAATATTTAAAATAAATATTTAATTTTAAATAATATTAACAATAATGATCAATTCTTTTAATATTTTTTAATTAAGTTTTTTTTTATCTAAAGCTTTGGCTACATGACATTATTTCAATAATTTCAAAGGTTAAATTGATTTATTTAATTTTTTATTTAAAATAAATTTGTACCTTAATTAGAATGTTATTCTAGTGGTTATAAGATATGTGTAAAAACACATATCTCTGTCATTTTCCCAAAAAACAACAACCAACAATTTCATATTTAAATCTGAGTGCATTGAAAAGCGCCAGACCTGATGTTAATAAACTAAAGAAAGAGCAAAATTAGCAACAATGTATATATTATTACTTTCATAGATGAACTCTTTTAGGAGGAAAAGGGTTAAAACTTGGCTATTTACAGTAAGGTTCTTATTGAAAATACATTTATTTTATAAAGTATTAAGTATTCTTACAAAAGCAATACAGATTTTCAATAGTATATCATTCGTAGAAATGATATTTCCTCATTGTTTATGTATATTCATTGTAATCTATTATTATTGTTCGCAATAATTTGTTTCAAATACATATCAAAGTGTTTTATGTCAGTGATTTTAATCATTGTCAGATATCAATTAATACTAATTAAAATAAATACCTCAAAACTAAGCTGATTTCGGTTTTATTTTAGTTCATATACCATGAAATTTTAATAATATATTGAATATTATTGAAATCATCATTGTTCCAATATTTAAGATCATAAATATTATTTTATTCACTACCTCTATCAAGCTCATCTTTATAATTTTCTATAGTAAAGACAAAATATCGAAAAATTTGGAGAATGGGCTTATTTAAAAAAACTTTTTGACTTTTTCTTTTAACTTTTAAGCATTGGAAAAAATGAGCTTGAGCACTAACTTAGATGGCATTATTTTGCTTTTTTTTTGCAACTAAGAATTGCATTTACTAATTGTTAAGATCGAAGTGATACCTCGGATGGATGTGCAGCAGGTATCACTGGAGATGCTAGTGGTGAAGAAGAATCTGCTGCAATGATGAGTGATGAACACATACCAGTAAGTCCTTGTGACAGTAATGAAACTGATGACACTACATACTTTATGCCTTGGTTAAAAGTATGCATTAAAAAATTAATAATAATAATTAAAGTATTTAACATTATGATTGTTTTTTTTTTTAGTCTGTTATTCAAATCAATAAGTCATTTGATTATAACTGTACTCATCAGTCATTTTGCCATCCATTGTGCTATAAACGTTATATGCGATCTTGTTCAAGGCTTATCAAAGCCATTAGAAAAGTAATATCACCATCTATAACTTAAATAAAATTTTGTATATTTATGTTTTCTTAGTTATACGGTGAAGAATTTGGTTTGATGAGTTCCTTAGAGCAAAATGCTGAACTAGACGAGTTTGTTAAAATAACAAAAGTTGAGACCAAAAAGAATTTACAAATTTCTAGCTGTCAGACTTCTCCAAACAAACGTAAAGATAGTCTTGGAAAAATAGAAAAGTAATAAACTTTATTTGATGTAACTTATTTGTTTAATTTTATGTACTGAATAAAATAATTTACTTTTAATTTTAGTTCTAGTCATTTATATAATATCAGTGAAAATATTTCTAATAGTAAAAAACTTTTACTAAAATCTGACTCAAAAATTCAAGAGAAAAAAGAGAACCATAATCAGAGAAATGTCAATCATGATACTCCTTTAATTTTAAAATATATGAAAAATCAAGTAAATATTAATATAAAGTTTAGTTTATCTGAAATCAATAAACAATTTTACTTCACTAGGTACACAATTTGTTCCACTGCTCAATGTCATTGATGATAAAAGCTGCAGTTGTTTTAACAGAAGAACAGGTTTTAGATGTATTGCCTATTGCTTGGGAATTTCTCTTAGACTCCAACCAAGAACTGGTAGCTTCATCATCAGCCTTATTTATAATAGCTGCATTTAAAGCACCCCATAAAAGTGTTGAAGTTATGAATAATAGTCTAACAAGTAAAGATACTACTATTAGGGCTAATGCCATTTTAAAGTAAGTAAAAATAATTCAACAAGTTAAGCAATCACTTTAAGTTTCATTTATCTTTAAACACAAGTGAATGATAATGAGTTGCCAAAATCCCTCAATATGCATTTCATACTGGTGAATATTTGTAGTGAAATTTCCCTCCACACTACATAATACTATATGTATTAAAATTCTTGTGACTCAATAAGTATTTGCCTAACAATTTTATAAACACAACAACATATTATTGTAAGGAAAATAACTAAAGAAGGGCCATTTTAAAATTTTGAATAATAAAACTTTGACTAAAATTTTTTTGTCTCTAATAAGTTGGAGTTAAAAAATTAAAAATTGCACAACAAAATTTTTATTTTCAAAAGTTATGTAAGTTGTTATATGAGCAGTAGTTCTTTTCCATCTGTATTATATATTTGCAGAGTGTTCAGTAAGTAAGGAAAAAGGTCAATTGTGTTAAACAATATGAACAATAGAAACTTGTTCCCTTACTTACTGAATATAAAATTATATATACAATGAAGGTGATAGTCTATCATAAACCACTCTATTAATCTCAAAGTAAATACAATATTGAAAAAATAATATTTGAGTTATTTTAGTTAAATATCATTCTTGATTTATCAGCTAATAACTACTTTTTAGAATCGTCTTCTATAATATATAGGGGTGTCAATATTATTTTATTTTAATATTTTTTAAATAGCAAAATACACATTTAACTAGTTTATAAAATAAAAAATTATCTAATTAAAGGGGTATTCTAGTGTAGAGACATGAATTTCGCCCGGTTTTTGAAGCGCTGTACAAAGGAAACAAAAAATATTTCTAGTATCAATTTTTTTATCATTTGTTTATTAATGTTTTATTATTATAAAAAAAATTAAAATTTACAAAGTTATGAGCAGTCAAAGTGGGGGGTCCAAAAAAAGAGGGTGCCTTGGCGTGCATGATACCAACCCTTCTGATAATCTGAAGAATAAAAAGCAAACGGATTCTTAATTATTATAGATGCCGCTGTCATGGCCCTTGGACTAGTTGAAAAAATATTTTTTGATAAAATGGTGAATGTTTAAAAAAAAAATGTTTTTTTCATAACAATTTTTAACTATTTCGAATCTTTTAAAAATACTAAATGAAAAGTTATAGCTTTACGCAAGGGACAAGTTATAAAGGGATATATAAAGAACATTCTCTCCAAATTTGAAGTAAATCGGTTCATTATAACTCTAGATATCGTGTACGCCAGTTCGAAAAAAGTAGTTTCGAGAAAAACGCGTTCAAAGTTTTGAGACATGTTTTCGGTAATTTTACTAATAAAATGATACAGAATACTTAAATATTTTTAATCGGCGATTCCTGCCCCATATAAAAAAACCTTTCTCTACTTCAAAACATTTATTTTCCGATGTTTTCTATTAAAGACGAGCAGTTCTACCCTCCTTTGACGCCCCTAAAGTCAGGAGTTCCGAACGCTCTAAATATGCTTCGTCTCGTCTCGATGCAAAAGCATTAGCATCTGGACCAATCGTCATTCCCATAACATCTAAGATTTTTAATATAGGTATTAAACCTTCATTAAAAATACAAACTACGAAGAAAGTGGCAATTTCAATTGTTTTTGGTCCAGCATGAATATGCTTCGGAGTAAAAGTCTATATTAATGAGTTGAAAGATTCGTTATTATTTTGGGTTTCAGAACCCAAACATCGTTCCAATAAACTGCCTGCTGATAAATTTTCATAAGTTGGTTTTATTACTTCTATAACGTTGTTATTTAGAGGAGGATCGTGGTCAAATTCGTCAATAGTACCGTCTTCCATTGCCTTCAGATACTTGCAGCAACTAGGTAAACAATTCATGTGTTGAGGATTTTCGTTAGTTGAAATTTTATAAAAAAAGAAAAGGTTGCCCATACATCTCTCTTCATGTCTTCAACAGAATTTGGATTGCGACGAATTGCCAAACTATAATATAAAGACAATTCATTGATTAGCTTATCAGTGAGTTTACCAGCGCCTTTGCCACCAATATCTTTATTCTCTTTTTTTACTTTACGTAATCGTGAACCCATGCGTTTTTGAACATGCCCAACACACTCCTTTTTTCTACTACCGGGTTATCATTGTAAGGGATCATATCAAGAATGCCTTTGAAAGTTTTTGAATTACCATCTCCGATATATTGGATATATTTGACATTATGCTTGGTTTCCGACCTCCCAAACATTTCAACAACCGCGTCAGCTTCCATCTTTCCGGCGCTTCCTTTATGATTTATAGTACAATCTTCTTCACACCAATCTCGATAAGCTTGGATGTCATCATTTTTTTTTTTTTGTGTTCCCATAAATTACACTCATGACAAAAACTTGATTTTATTATCGTATCAATAACTTTTTTACTGTACTTGTCGACGAGCGTAGTAACACCAAAGAGAGAATTGAAGCTTCGTTTTTTCCACGTGCTATCGCTGGAAACAGTTATATGATTAGGATTAGCGTGAGGATCAGGATCTACTATTAATTCCTTTTCTTCTCTTACGGCTTTTGATATAACTTAATTGTAAACCGCTGATGCGGCCGTGTATAAATTGTCAAGGCAACTGAAATATGCACCAATGGTTAAGCCTTAACAAATGTCCATTATACTACAAAATATGTTTATACCTTCTCTTCCAACTCCTAGTAATCTCATAGCTGCTACAATTCTACAATTCACTTCGAATGCTTTGTTTATGAAGGGCGATTATTGAATATATCTTATTTCCTCACACTCACATTGTAAAGCAATTTTGAACCCTAACCCACGAGCAGCTGCACGACTAAATTGTATATCTTTCTTACATGTAGAGCACAAAATCAATGTTGAAAGCGTGGTAAAAACAGAAAAAAATTCTAAAATACAATAACCGTAATTGTTATTAATTATAACTTCGTCATACTGCGAATGATTTAATTTTGCTGCAGATGCACTAATGAATCGGGTTTCTTGTTCTGCAATAAATTAATTAGCGGAAAATCTCTTCTTTTTTTTATCTGCATGACCGTACAGAACTAAATTTTGAAGATTTTTTATCCATTACACTGTAAATAAATTCACAATTTACAAAATAATTTTCACTTAAAAAATTTTGAACACGTTGTCATAGTTAGCAAGTCCACTCTGTACGAAGGTTGGCTCAAAGTTAACTTAAAATAAAACTAAAAGGAGAATATTCCAGCCTACTGTATTTTGTTGAGTTAGCAGGTAGGACTAGAACCGATGCTATGTCACTAAAAGGGCTATAAGTCATTAAATAATAGGAAATTAAAAAATTTCTTTAAAAGTTTTGTATCAAGCCTCAAATTTTTTTACGTTTCCCATTAAAGTAACAACTACTTTATAATTTTTTCGTAATAATTATTAAATATAAATTTCATATTATATTTAATTTCTATAATAAATATTTATACTTATAAATAAAAAAACTACTAATCAGGAATAATAAAGGAAGTATGAGTTAATTTTGCCTTTTGAATAATCCACTAATTTCTTAAATTTAAATACTATCTACAGATTTACATTGAAGCATTCCTTATGATAGTGATTTTAATCACTGTCAGATATCATGTATACTTATCCCACGGCAATACTGTGCTATCGTTTTTTTTTTTTATGTCAATTTATTTTTTAAATAAAGATGACTTGTTTAATTAATTAGAACAATGTAATGCAAGACTTTAATAATATATATTTTTTTGAAATGCAAAGGATTTTTTTCTATTTTAATTCCACATATATATACATACATATATACAATATGTATATATATATTTTTGAAAATTAATATTTTTTATTATTATTAACAAGGTTGTAGCTAGTAGTATTTTATCTTTATTTTTCTAAAATAGTAGTTTAATACAAAATCATGTATTTATACTCTTAATCTCCAAGTGTTAGAGAAATCTCAATGTTTTTTTTATCTTTTTAACTATAATCAATATTTTAAATATCAATTTAATTTAAATATTTATGCTAGGTTTCATGTTCTTTGGAAAAATCGCTACCAACCATGGCCACGAATGGAAGAAGGTGCTCATAATTTGTTTAGGGTCCCTCCTCCTGGTATAGAATTTACCTTAACTTCACCCAAAATTGGTATAGAATGTCTACCAACTGTGGATCCTCCCTGGATGCCACAAGTTGAAACTAAAGTAGAAGAAGTTGCCATTGGACAAGATACTCATGTAAGTGTTAAAAGTATTTGGAATAGTTACACTGTAACTGGCGAATTTAAAATAATAGACGAAATATTTTTAAAACTTCAAAACATTTGTTAGCTAAGCTATCATACTTATGTATACAATACACAGTTATACATTTAATGTAATTGAGAATAATAATTATTAAAAATAGCTATGTGGCAAATTAGTTGATTATTTATGGTAAATTTAAGAATGATAGCAAATAAAAAGGTTTTAAATATATATCTATGATGAGTATTCTTAAATTTTATCTGAATTTTAATTTAACTAAGTTTTCAAATAGTTAGAAGTATTGTTATTTCTTCTTGCAGAGATCGTTAGTCACTGCTACTAAAACCAGAAAAAAGCAACAAACAGAACTAATAAAAATGGCTCTTGAAGCCAAAGAAGATCAGAGACGAAATGAACGAGAAAGTTTCCTTGTAACTGCTATACCAATTAACAGTCAAGCAGCACATGAACAAATGCACCATGGTTTATCTGATTTAGAATATGATGAAGGTAAACATTTCCTTTTTTCTTCTGAAAAATTATTAAGTAAACTATGAACTTAGAAATAGATGAGCATGAAAATCAGACTCGTGTTATTACTCATCATTCAGTCCCAACAGTAACTGTTCTTTTCCCATCAACCTTATGTTCAGCTGTAGTTGAAATTATATCCTTGCTTAATGATCCAGCTGTCACTGATGATGGCACTTCAGTATATGAAACTGCTTATGAGGTAAGGTATAAAATATTTGTTAATTAATCATAGTTTCTAAGTTTCTAATTATATAATACAAGTTTTTATTACTAGTGTAATGATTTATAATATATAATATATTATTGAGGAAAATCAGTTTGGTATTGGCGTACCAGACAAAAAAAAAAAAAATAACTGCAAAATGAATTAATAGATTTTAAGCTAAGCATCACAGCTTAAATATATATTATAGCCTCTAAAGCTAGAGTCTACGCAATTTTATAATTTTTTTATAATACTCGGCAATAATCTTTACCTTACACTCAAAGTTTCAAAAATATCTATTTAGTCAATTGTTTAAAATTCAACTAGGTTCAAAAAATCAATGAAGCGATTCTATTTTTTTTATAAGCTGTTTTTAGTGTTATGTTTGGATACTCATTTCTCCATTATATAAATAGTTATTTAAGTTTTCATAGTATTTGTAGATGTATAGAATTTTATAAAATTATTGTGCCTTAATTTTTTCTTACATTTCCTGACATTTTTTAAGCATTCTTCTAAATTACAACTATATATATAAATTTTTATAGGTTATTTGGACATGTTTAGTGGAAGATTGCAATTTGTTTTTACGTTTTGTTTTTGAAAGATTAACTCGTGACAACCAAGAAAAAATGTTTAAGTTGTTACGACACCTAATTCGGTTTGTGCCTAAGCTACCTCATCAGGCAGCATTCATATTGTATAACTATATCATAGGATATGTGATGTTTTATGTGAGGTCTCCTCATGAGGAGGGTCAAGCGATGATAGGCTCAGCTTTGTCAATTCTTTGGATGGTAGGTCCAATTTTTATTATCAAATCAAAAATTTTATTTAAATTTATATTCAAATCAATTATTTTGATTAAATGTTAAATTTTTTGATATAGGTTGTTCATAGTGTTCATGGTATTATGTTCAAAGACTTGAAACAAATTTTACGCAAAGAACAATGTGATGGATCTATATTGTTAACTGCTAATGTTCCATCGACTAAAAAAGTTGTTGTTCATGGTCCTCAAGGTAAGTAGTTGTGGAACTTATTTATCATTGTCATCAACAACATCTAATAAGCAATTTTCATAATTATATGGTTATATAATACGGTTATAGGTCATATTATAGGGTTTTTTCTTCTGTGAATTTTTGGTTTAAATAACTATAAACTTTAATAATCTTTACTGGAAATTGCAAAAAAAATTTATATTATATATTCACTTATGAGAATGTTGTCCAAATGTTAATAGTACTTATTTTAATCTTCCAGTAATTTTTGTGTATTAAGACTTTGTAGTTGGACATAATTAAAGAAATTTTATTTTCTAAGATATCTTTGTGAGACACCACAACAAATTTTAAGAAGTAATAAATTTCAAAAAACATTATTTTAAACATCAAAAGTTGTGCTTATGCTTTAAATTTGTAATCTATTATAATTGGCTAATAAAAACGTTAAATTTACAAAAGATCATTAATTTTTTTTACATTAAAATTTCATATCTTGCTCATTTAGGCAATGAACAAACATTTATAAATTTATTTTATTTTAATACAGGAATTATAGAAAAACAGTAAAATTTAAAAGAAATGAGTTAAATTTTTCCTTTTTATTTGATAACAGAACTAATATAAAAGTGGATAATATAGTATTTTATAAATTAATAGTCTAGCTGTCCAAGCTATAGATGAATAAAAATAATAATACTATATTTAAACAAATTTTAGAACAAATGTCAGGTGGTATCCCATCACAATTTCCTGTTCAAGAAGATACACAGTTTATTCAAATATTAAAAGAATCTTTAGACTTCTTTGGTATACAAGAAGAACGTCAAAAAGAATTTTTTCTTGTCAACATCAAAACACGTATGATTTTAAATTTTATTTTATTATTATTATAATTGTTTCTCTCTTAGAGATTTTAAATCAATTTCTAATATTTATTCAAATCAATTAAAATTTATATAAACTTCACTTAATGAAAATTTATTTATTTTTAGGCCAAATTCATAATCCTAATTCCTATGTCAGAGATTATTACTTTTTCAAAAGATCACAATACCCTCAATTAGAGCTCATTCAATTGGACCTTGTTGAAGCATTTAATCAATTACAGAGTCAAGAACTAATTCACAAATTTATTGAAATAGGAAAAGTGCTTTTAACTTGGGCCATTTTAAAAAATGTGGACATGGTAATATTTTTTATTTTATTATTATGTGTTCAAAAATGGTTACAAAACGGATATTTTAACAATTAATACAAATGGAATAATTAGAAACTAAGGTACAAATAAATAAGATATTTCAACTTAGTTAAATCGTCTCTAAAATAATCAACATTTTTTATCGAGTTACATGTAACTAACATTCTACTCTTAATCAGAGCGAATAAACTATAATTTTGCCAATAAATAGCTAAAAAAACAATAGTGAAAGATCTTTTGAGGAATATTTAAAAATATTTGACTAAATTCAGGATACTCAACTAAAAAATTCAGTTACATAAACAGCAAAGATTCATGTATTTTTCTTCTTTTTTCAAGTGAAACAATATCAAAATGACACGTTAGTTTTTTTAGATATACCAGTAGTTTTGTTTCTTTTATATGTATGAACTCACAAAAACCTATTTTGAACACATTCTATTTTATTTATTAATCCAACTTGATGTAGTTTCTGAACTACTGAACTATATTCAAGTATAAAATGTACAAGAATAAAGATAGATCATCAGATCTATCTGGATATAAATATACCCAAATTTTTTACCTTTGTTGCTATTATTAATTCTGAGCTATTTATTTTATAATGAATCTTTATATTTTATTTACACTTTTTTAATGTTAATTGCGAATAAACAGACCTATAAAATTTTAAATCATCTGCAAACATTAAAAAATGACTATATTTAAATATATTTTTAATTCATTTATTTATCCATAGAGAGTTTAAATAAGACTAACTATAAGTGCTCCCTTAATGTACACTAAATGTAATTCTTATATTTAACAAAATTAAATTGCCTAATTTTACTTATTTTCTACATTTAGTCCAATTTAGCATTTATCTAATAACACCATTACATTCTAGTTTTTTTTACTAAAATATACAAGTCCACATTATCAAGCACTTTCTTTATGCCAGTGTATACTGCATCAACCTGTATGCTTTTACCTACTATTAATATAGGATCAAAATAGTTAATTGATTAGTCATTGTTGTTTTCAAAGGACGAAATCAGAGTTGGGCATTATTCGAATAAAAAATTATTCGATTGATTATTTGAATAAAAAATTATTCTTTATTCGTTTATTTTTCATTTGATTATTCTAGATTATTTTTATTCATCATTTTAATCTTTACAGTTATTCATTATTCATTATTCAACGAGTTATTCTACATTTTTTATTCATTATTCGGTTATTCATTATTCATCATAGTCGTGTTTATCTCAAATGATTCGTAGATAATTTAAAATTACAACTTAACTGAACATTGAAACTAATATTTCTTTCTTATTGTTATATTATCTGCTATCGATAATGTCAAAACCAAAAATCATAAATAATTTCTATGAGACTAATCTAAATGGTTTAGCACTCGATATCGACATGTTATTTAACTGCGTTTTACAGCTTTAATAACATTTTTATATTTTAAGTATAAAGTTGTATTAAAATCAAATTTAAATTATGAATTACAAAATAGAAACTAAAAATTAAAATGAATTAATATTTTTGTGACGATTATTGTTATTATTATGTAAATTATTGTTATTGTTGTTATAATTATTTGCTCTGTTATGTATATTATATTTTTATCATAATTTTGTTACACCAAAATTGGATATTATTCACAATTTATTTAACTAATTTATTCAGAATAATCAATTTATTCATAAGTTAAATTATTCAGAATAATTTTTATTTTTTATTCACAACTAAAACTATTTAAAATAAAATATTATTCTTTATTCACAAATTAATTAGTTATTCATACTTTTATTTTTTATTCATTAGTTTGATTTGTTTTTGCCCAACTCTGGACAAAATACATGTTGTCATTTCACATTACTTCATAAAATATTTGTAATGCAGTGTTAATATCAGTGTTATTATATTATAAAAATTAAAAAAATCATAATGGATATATTGATCATAAAGTTGTTCTAATATTAAACAACGCAGCTGAACATCAGCACTAAGGCAGCAACTGAATGATCAACTGTGCCACACTATACCCTATTCTGTCATTACATAATAAACCATAATAATTACTGATAAAATTAACCAGTGTTATATTGTAATTTCATTTCAAATGTATATTTATGAAGTATCCATTTAACTGTCTTTATGTATTATATAGGTAATAATATGACTGAGTTTGTGTATAACAAAAACCAATTATACATTTATTATTATTTCTCCATTTGACAAAACACATTACAGTTATCTAAGTCAATTTCAGCATTAAATACATCTGAACTTAACTAGTTTTCATCTAATACAAAAAAAATCAAATTTGAATAGAGTAATATTATATAATAAAATATTGAACTTGACACGGTACCGTGTTTCCCTCAGCCGCACATCACGTTATCAACCTAAATGAAAGTGTATCGGGATCTGAATCATAAGTGCACGGTGGCCTAGTGGTAAGGTTTGTCTCTACGACGCCTTGGGTCGCGGGTTCTAATCCCGTACTGTGCCTCTTTTTTTCACATGATTTCCGGTACACTTTCTATAACCGGCCGTCAATCCCCGGCGGCCGTGTTAAACTTTGTGTGAAACTAAACTTAATATTTTATTACAGTTATTACACTTATTATTATTATATGTTATTTATATTTAAAGGTAAAAGAGTCATACAGGAGTGTGGGAATTATAGAGGCATAAAGAATATGATCCATACTGTGAAAATTTGGGAAAAGGTAATAGATAAGGGAATAAAAAATGAAACTTAGGTATCTAAAAACCAGTTTGGAATTATACCTGTTAAGTCATCAATGGAGCCATTATTTTGTGTGAAGCAACTAATAGAAAAGTTTAGGGAAAAGAAAAAAAAGCTGTGTATGGTATTTATAGATTTGGAGAAAGCGTATGATAGAGTACCGAAAGAGGTTTTAAAGTGGGCATTAATGAGAATAGGAGTCCCAAAAAGGTACATTAATATAATAGAAGATGTGAAATTACTAGAGAAATATAAAGAGAGGTGCAGTGGTGCATGTTGTTCGCTTACAATATAGTATTGATAGGAGAAAATATGGAAGAAATTAATCAGTGGCTAGAGGTGTAGAGATCAGCTCTTGAAGAAAAAGGTTTAAGAATAAGTAGGAGTAAGACAGAGTATACAGAGTATGAGGCTGAAAGGTAAATTCTATGAGACTGTAATGACACCAACTATGATGAATGGTTCAGAGTATTGTGCAGTTGATAACAAAGTAGAGCAGAGTATGAGTGTAACAGAGATGAGAATGCTTAGATGGATGAGTGGAGTGACTAGAGAAGATAAGGATAAGGAACGAACATATAAAAGAGAGTATAGGTGTAGCGTCAATTGTTGATAAGATAAGAGAAAATAGTGTTGTAAAACAAAAATAAGAAAAGGAAAAGGGGGGGATTTAGGATTGAAATTAATGGGGAAATACGCGGGATCTGACTCTTCACTCGGGCGTATGGATCGAGGGTCTACCGTTGTAAAATAAAGCATGCAGGTTGAGTTCAAATAGTGTTACCTGAATATTTATGTTATCCTTAATGCCGAAGACAGGATTTATGTAATAATAATTTCAACACAAAACAAGTTGATGTCAATAATCAAATGATATAATTATTGTCACTTATTACACAAAAGTGATTCATATAGTAAAAGAAATAGTACATGAAACTTAAATAAAATATTTGTACACACTAATTCAAATATTGTCAATATTATATAAATGATGATACAGAGAAAAAAATGCAGAGTTTACTTATAAAACTGGACGTGTTCGTTCCGGAGTACGATCGAAACGGGCCGTGTCAGACGAGCCCATGGAGTCCTTTGGTGTCCTTCCATAGTCCCCTTCCAGACACGTACATGACAATCGGCCTTACATTTATTTAGATTCTTTGTTGCTATTTTGCTGACATTGTAGAAGGATTTTATAAAACTACGGGGTTGTACATGTTGGGAAAGAACGGATGTGTGTGAGTTGTGTGTGTATCTGCAGTCAGTGATAGAAAGTGTTGATTGTGTTTTGTAATTTATTGGTGTGTGGGTAGAAGATGAAAGAATAACAGAAAAACATTTTGTTCGGTTGTGTGAAGGGCCTATTACAACAATAGACTTAGGTGGTTTGGTCATATTATGAGGAGAGAAGAATCGGAAGCTGTAAGAACAGTTATAGAAATGTATGTTGAAGGAAGAAGAGGTAAAGGAAGACTAAAAATGAGATGGAGAGATGCTATTGAATGCGATATGAGAACAGCTGATTTGAGCGTAGATGATGTGGGAGATCGTGTCAAGTTGAAGTTTAGGATAAGGGTGGCCGACCTCAAGTAGTTGGAATTAAGGCGAGGAAAAAGAAGAACACACTTATTATCAATATTAACATTATTATTAATTAATTTACAATTATTACATGGACAACACTAACCAAAATTAAAAAGCATATGGCTATTAGTTTTTAAAACAGATTATTAGTATACCATTAAAATATTTTATGAATGAATTTAATTACTATCAGCATATTTTTGTTGGAGAATGTCTCTAAACGTTTTCATTTTAATTTGCTGATATTGTATTTATTCAGACAATTTTCTGCTTATTTTTGATCAGATTTTGGATTTACATTTAAATAATGTTATAGGATCCTGATGCATAGTCAAAGTTTTATTAATGATGGTTGATCATTGTCGAGCTTTGCCAATTCTTTTGGTTTGATTATTATTTAAATTCAAAGCTAGATCAGTTAGCAGTTTATTTGCAACAAATAAAGGGATATTTTTAAGTAATTAGTTATTATACTCTCTTTAGGTCATTCTTCAATATTGATAATGATTACATTTTTGTTTTTAACTAAACTCTTCTATGTTTCATTAAATACTTCATCTGACGATAATGAGTACATTACTTGTGGAATCGAGTAAATTAATTTTATTATCTAAACAACCTATTTTTTTTTTTTTTTTAATTGAAATTTTCTTCTCTTAAATTATTAATAACTATTAAGTGTGTTACTAAGACTGTTAATTTTACACTTGTTGTTAATTAATTTATTATTTATAAATTTATGCTTTTCATTTTGAGAGTCATCCATTGGTTATAGTTTCTTCATTATATCAATTAGAGTTATGGTATTATTAATTTAAGAAAATGATAGAATTTTTTGATATGAGTGATTTTGTAGTGTTTGATATTATTCATTAAACTGATGTGTTCGAACAGTAATAGGTATGAATGTGTTATCTTAACGACAGTTATAACTTCTGATATTATCATTATTGATACCTTTATAATTAAATACTGTGAATTTTAGGTTGTACAGCGTGTAGTATTTTTGCATGAAGAATTAATTAAACTTCCATCATTTCCTAGAAAAGCATTGGACGCTGATTTGGATTTGTACAAAGGAGGGAGTATGGGAAAAGTTAGTGAAATAAAAACACTTATATTAAAATTGTTTTATTTATATTAATATGATACATAGGAGCTTTTGGGACTTGATTTGCTGCATAAATTTATGTGGGTTCGCTTGATAGCAAGAATGTTTGAAGCCATGGCTGGTAATTTTGCTTATTCAGGTGATATTCACTTGTTTTTAAATGTGTTAAATGGTGCAGTAACTTTGCATTGTGAAGATTCTTGTATTCTTCGCTATGTAATGGCTACATACATAAATGCTGCAAGAAATTTTAAGAATATATTTTCTAGTAACGGGTAAAAAGATAAACAATTTATAAAAATCTTCCATTCATTTTATTAAGATTTTAACAATTTTTCTAGATATTTACTTATCATTCCTACATTACTTCAACTCTATGCCAGCCACCATACGAACAAAATTGTTACCAGATCCATTGAATACACTATTAAACAATTTTATCTTATGAATCGTAAGCCTTTTATATTGCAAATGTTTGGCAGTGCTTCTAGTATACTAGATTTGGATGATGCAACTAATACAGAAAACTCCAATAAGGTATTACTTAATGATTAGGGTGATTTAAGTATAAATGATTTTTGTTGAGAATATTGCACTTGAAATTCAGTAGTTAAGAAGTTGTTTCAACTAAAAAAAAGTTATTTAAAATATTTATAGATACATACATCCATGTCTTAAGTTTTATGAAAGTGTTACGAGTTTCAAACTCTTGCTTGTTTTAAGTAAACAATCGCTATCAATAATAAAAACAAATAATAACCTTATTGACATTATCAGTTTTCAACCGATTAACAATATAAAATCAAACGGGAAAATAAGCTGAGCTAACGTTATAGTTTAGGGATGGTAAAAATTGAGGCAATTTGATATTAAATAATATTGATATTTTATCAAAATGTTACCAATAACGAGATATTGAATTCGGTTTAATATTGATTAATCAATATATTGACTAAAAATATCATTATATATAAAATAAATTAGAAGTTGAATCAAATTTTAAATAATTATTTTAATTGTGTATCACTAAACACCATTATAAGATTTAAGTTTGAATAAATTTAAAATAATATTATTTTAATGAACACATACACCTTCATAATTTTGAATAATAATAGTAATAAATTATTTACTAAAATAAAATTGTAATTCTAATATTTAATTTTTATAATGATTAATAAAACCAATTTTTGTCATTCATGACAAAAAATTATTTGTTGAAAAAATACTCCAAAGAATAATGCATTGAGTTTAAAATTTCAGAATAAAACTGAAGACTTTGATATATCTGTAAATAACACAACTATCACTAATAGTAGGTTTATAATCTATGTAATTAAAGTCTTATTTCTAAAAAAAAAAAATCAATTATTCATGAAAGCTATTAATAACATTTAAAAAATATTTTTTTGTATTTCTAAAATCTTTTTTTCTATTTGTAATCATGTAATATGTACAAAAGTATGCGGTTTTAATTATTTGAATCCCAATTTCTCTGTGTCTTTAAGAAAAAGACAAAAGTATTATTTCTGTTATAAAGAAAAATTAATTGTAAAATTATCCATTTTAAATTTAGTCACTTAATTAATATCTTTTACTAATCTAATATTGATAGATGATATATCATAGGTTAAAAAAATCATCTTGTTTAACATTCAATTTGCTTAAAAATATTTTATTATACCAAACCCAATCCTAATATTGATTAAAATGTTAAAAACTATAAAATAGTGATCTTTAATGTTTAGTTAAATATTTTGTTAAAGGTTGAAGCAAATTATTTTTTCAAACTAATTTTGAGTCTTGAAACTCCATCACCTGACCCTATTCATATAAGTGAATTAATTAAAGAGGAAAAACCCCTGCAAGCAGTTGATTTTTGTTATCAAGATGAAGATGATACTATTACAGTTCAAGACTGCACTTCATTATGTGTTATGGTTATAGCTTTTTCACCTGAAACTTTGCGATCATACCAAATGCTGGTAAAACTTATATCATATTTATTATTTTGTACAAAAAATCTATATTTATATAAAAGACTTTTCTGAAATCAATGTAATTTTGTATGAAATAGAGCACTGATACTGATTTTTTAGTTTAATATATATTCTCAGTTTTTCATAGTTTTCACCTTAATGCTCTTTAAAAAAAAGTTATGAAACACTATAATGTTGTTTCCTGTAGACTTTTCTTACAAGTTATCACTTGATTTATTTTTTTGGAATATGTATTTTTAGTTAATATTAGAAGCTATTTTACCATGTTACCTTAATCACATACAACAGCCCAAGTACAGAGAAATTGAACGTGATGTAATTAATCAGTTGATAACTTCTATAAAAACATTGATAAACAATAGTGAAGCATTGTCTAAGTATGTTTTCAAATAAGTAGACTAATAATCCATAAGGACAGAAATATTCTTTATACTTATATTTTAGGCATTACAATGGGCCACAAAAATCCAGTCCAGATCCCAAGGATTCAAGTCAGCGTAATTGTAGCAAAGGGTTATGCTCTCCGACTGGTGGAGTTGGTGAAACTAAAGATATGGAAACAAACTCAAAAATGTTTAGTGAAAGAAAATCTCATAAAACCTTGTTAGAAAGAGACCAGTTAGATTGTGAGATTCAGCTAGAAGAGAAGTGTGCTGTAAGATACAATTGTTTTAATTGTTATTTTTTCTCTGATCAATTTACATTTTATTGTATCTATATAGGCTTTACGTAATGAATTTCGACGGACTAGAGATGTATTGTTATCAGTTGTTACAGATTTTGTGGTTATATGTCATGCTCGTCTTATAGAACTTAGTAGAAAATATCCACAAGAAGGGAAACCATTTGAAATTTTAGATACTCGCATGCATATTGTAAGTGTTTTCTATTAGTATTAGTTGCTTTAATTAATATGTTATTATGTTGGAGTGATTTAATAATTATTTGTTATAAATATTTTTATTTTTATTTTAGAGACTAGGTGAAGTAGCTCACAGCCTTTTAAAAGTATCTCCATATGATCCAGAAACAATGTCATGTAAAGGGCTGTTAAAATATATGACTAATATTTTACCAATAGTAGATTGGGCAGCTGAACCTTTACGGCCTACACTATTGGGTATTCTTCGTAGACTTGATAGAACATTCAATAAAATATATAAAAAACCATCAATAAGAGTTAGTTGCTAATCATTTTTTTTTTTTTTTTTTTTTTAAGATTTATACTTTATTAATTTCTTTATGTCATTTTAGAGATATACAGACTGGTATGCTGCAGGAGAACTAATTAAAGGAATATATGATACTCTATCAGAACATCCATTCATTGTACACATACCACATTTCAAAACTTTAGTTTCTACGTGCCAAGTATAAAATTATAAAATCGTAAAAGTGTATTTTCATTGGCATACTTTTATATATTTACAGGGTATAATTGTTGGTGAGTATGGTAGTACAACCAGTACTGGAACTGATAACTTTCAGCAAGCTGCTATTCCTATAGAAACTCCTCCTCCACACTTCTGTGCTATTGTTATAAGATTACTGGCTCTTCATATATTAGCTATTGGGGTTAGCATTTAATATTTTATTTAAGAACCAGTGTGTTTTATAATAAAATAAAATATATTTTATGTAAATACTCAATAAATTTTTAGGAAAATTATACATTAGAACAATCTGTTGGAGGTATGAACAATATAATGTCTTCACAAGTAAAGACTGAAAGTTTTCTCATGAACTTATTTTTACCACTTTGTTTTAGAGTTGGGGTTGGCAAGAAAGGTATTAAGTTATTATGTAATTTCATTCATATTTTTTCAAGTAAGTTATTTTTTATTTTTTTTAGATATGCATAATATGAGATCTTGTGACATAAAATTCATGTTGTCAGTTATATTAAATTCAATGAGTCCACCTGTTAAGACCACTTGTTTGACATTTGTTCAATTAACCAATATTAAACAATCGTCTGACTTACGTACCAACTCTTTTACATTTAACAGAGACTCAAAAACTTCACCAACAGTATCAAAATCTTTTTTCAAAGTTTTATTTTTAGGTTTTTAATTTAATTTTTATTAAAAAAATATTTTATATAATTAAAATTATGAATGATGTTTTTTGTCAATTTTATTTTATATAGCTTTAAAAATAATGCTTGTGTGCTTTGAAACTGAACTTGCATTGCAGTATCAACGTATAGCACATACTGTAAAAGAACTCATGAATGTTCAGGATGCAAGGGCATCATTGTGGTCTTTTGTTGAATTTATTATTGTCAACAGATCACCATTATTTATTTTACTTCAACCTTTCATCTTGCAACGAGTAAGATATATTTAAAATTTTTAATCAATATTATTATCATTATTATTCTATAGATCTTTAACGTCCTCTGATAAGCTATGCTTAGGTTAGAGATGATAGCAAAATGTACATACCCCAGTGCAACCCGGTACCTACACAAAAGCAAACTTTTCTTTCTTTCTGTGCATATAATGCACAGATGTATCTTTTTATTTATTACTTATCCAAACCTTCTTTGAGAAGATTTACTTAAAAAAATATTAAAAACACACTTTTGTCGAATCAACTTTTAGATATTTTAAGCCACAGAGTTATCTAATTAAATTATTACAAATATTTTTCAGTTGGCAAATCATAGTATGTTTGAATATTTTTTTACTATTTTAGCTTCGATGCGAAGCTGAGAAGGTATTAATTTTACTATGATGTGTTTATTTTTTTTTATATTTTTTTTTTTGTGTCTGTTACCACTTTTTCTCGGGTCTCACCGAACGGATTTCTTTCAACAATACGTCAAAAGATCACAAATCGTATCTAGTCGAAGACATTACCCTTAAAAATTGAAAAAATTTCCCTCGTTCCACGTAAATGGGGGAAATCCCCAAAAAAATTACAAATTTAAAAATCGCTAATTTTCGAAATTTTTTCAATTTTTTTTACTTAAAACTGTCATAGCTTTTTCAAAATTGAACAAATCAATATAATTTTTTTAAGTGTTCCAGAAATACTGACATTTTTATATATACCTTAAATTAAAGCTTATGTAATATACTTTATTATGGAAAAAAAAATTTCGGACTTTATTTTGTCTTCATGGTGAAAATAGCTACCGTATGCTATTTTTATGTTGAAATTCTCGATCTTATATTTTACATTTTTAATTTTAAAATGCTTTAACTTTTTGAAAAATATATGAATCAATACAATATTTTTATGAGAAATAATATTTATATTCCTTTTTCATACGATTTACTTTTTTTTTAAATCGCACCATTTCCTTTATAGGGGGGTTCAAATCTTTAAAATGCATGGTAACAACAGACATCAATGTTAATAAAAAAAATTTTAATTCAAAAATTAAATTTCAGAATATAAAAAAATTCTTTTTTATATTCTTAACTTTATAATGCTATACATTTTTGAAAAATTTATAGATCATTATATTTTTTTTGAGATAAGTACTATTTATATTTATATATTATTAATATATATATTCATTTATTCATATATTACACTTCTAAATCATAAAACTTGAGAAATAATATTTTTTAATAATCCCTTTTTCATTCTACATACTTTATCTTAATTAGGATATTAATAATGAACTAGCAGATCATGTAGCTTTTGGAATAATCCATTATTTTTTTAAATTAAACACTATCTACAGATTTGCTTCAAAGCGTTTTTTATGATAGTGATTTTAATCACTGTCAGATATCATCTATGCTGGATCCAACTATGCCACGACCCCACTGTGCTGGGTTTTTTTAAAATTATTACTTTCCCAAATATGATGTGATGAGCAATGGTATAACTATAATATTATTTATGGGGGACATAAAATAAAAACTTCCTCTAAACAAAATAAAATTGTATTTTTCTTTAATTTTTTTGCAATTTATCAATGAATAATATTTTCCAACTACAAAATTGTTCAACATTTTTTCTTAAAAATGTGTTGAAATAAAATAGATGTAGTTATAACATACTAGCTTAATATAATTTTTTAGTTTTCAATTAATATTTTCTAACTTGCCCATAAATGTATTTTTTTATTTAAAATATATTTTAGTAATTATTCCATGTATACTTCAAAGGTGTCAGGGTTCTCTTGTCATTTTGTCAATTTCCTTAACAATATCCCATAAACAGTGGCAGTATAGCTACTTTTTATAATTTTATCAGCATGTTTAATCAATTATTGGGTGAATTTCTTTTTTTTTTTTTTGTAGCCGTTTTATGAAATTATAAACAAAACAAATTTTTCCTGGTTGCACCAATACTAATGTTTCTCTTCTTCCTTCCCTAAAATGACTGAATTCAATAATTTTGAAGTGCAATTATGAAAATATGTTTAAAGTTTTACTGAAAAAACTTGGATAGTATAATAAACAAATTTAATGAATATGATTCTTTACTTAATAATTTTATAATAATAGCGAGTGATTTTAACCACCCACTAATATATCAATAATAGTTTTTATATTTCAACAGTGTTAGTTTATTTTACCTGATCTATATACATTGGTTAGTTTAAAACTTAACATTGCAATGAAATTTTATATGCACTATTTATGAATGAAAATTTATCCACTTTTAAACTTCATGCAATATACTATAGCGTCATTCAATTTTTTTTTAGTTAAGCTGGCTTTATTTTTATTAGTATACTATATTCAAATTAAACTTAATCATTTGTTAATTTATGTAATCTATCTCAATATGTCTGTTTTTAGTTAGGATTTATTTCTGTTTCTGAACTCGAAGTAAACTCTCAAAATTTAGTTAAAGAAAAACTTTCTGAATACACAGCTATCACTCCTCAATGTCGAAGTTCTTTGCTTGTTGAACTTATGAATGAAATGACAGAAATTAAGCAGGAATTAGATGATAGACTAAGTAAGCTTTTCAATTATATAAATTAAATCATATTTATATTATTAATAAATTTGATATTTTTAAGTAGATGAACAAAGATCAAGGACTAATAATGGAATACGTAATTCATGTGAGACTCAACATAGACCATCTGTTATAAATTTATTACCAGGTTCTTCCAATCCCACTTACAGTGTATGTGCTATTTCTCATAGAGAATCTATATCCAGTGTACGAAGTAATTTCAGTGGTCAAGACAAATCATTAAATAGTATTATTCAAAAAGGTAAATCGATTTTATAGAAATATGAATGTTAATAATTATTATAAATTCATATTTATAGAATCTAAAAATTCTGATGGAGATCCAACAGAATTTGGAATCAAACCTGAAACTCGTTTACAACGTACTCGAGCTCAGAGTCGAAAAACTTTCCGATTTCGGAAAAATAACATGAAGGTTAGTTTGAAAATATATTACTATAAATAGGAATAAACTATTATTTTTTTTATATATCTATAATAACTAAACTGATTAGTTGATAAAAATTTTTAAACAATTATTTCAGAATAATTTTATGTTTGAACGGGAGGATTGTGGCTTGTAAATACCTTATGGTAAAAATAGGTATGATCCGCTCTTTATCCCTAGTCTATATTTTATAATGGTATTGACTTCCAAAACAATAGCTAATCAATGACCAATAAGTCATTTTTTTTATTAGATCATCATCTTAAATTTAATCTAATTTAATATTGTTGCTAATAAACAAAAAAAATAAGTTAATGACTTTATAAGGCAAAAAAATGGATGGACCTAAAAACTAATTTGATATATCACTACTATAGATCATTTATACATATTTTGATCTGTTGCTTTTTAGTTTTTTAAATCACTTCAAGCTTTTTTTTTTATTGTTATAAACCATATATTTTTTATACATTAATTTGATTCCAGAATTATTTGATTATAATAGTGATGTTAATATTTTAAAATTCAGGTTATACACCATGGTTTGAAATCACCTCAACAAACCAGAGAAGACAATACAATGAATACTGAAAATAAAGAATTTAACAAAATATCTAATGTAACAGATGATAGGTTATTAATAACAAAACCAGAAATGATATGGGAAGAAGATAATCATAGTGCACCATCTAGAACGTCTAGTACTTCAGGCTATCGAGAAAACTGCAGTTTGTTAATGATGCCAATGGGTAGTTCAGATGAAAATAGCTCTTCACCAATCCATCATTGCTTAACAAATAGTAGTTCAACCATTATTCCTATTGAAAGTCCAATTATGTCAAAAGACAACAATGATATTGGCAGTCAACTGACAATTGCTACTTGTGAAGAAGATACACTGATTTAAACTTTATATTTTTCAGTTAAAAATTATTTAAGTAGAATACTTTGTTTTATTGTGATAGGAATAAGTATTTAAGATACCAAATATGATAAAATTACCAATGTACATGCATGGTTTTTATTATGTAGGAATTTTGATGGTGGTTATTGCCCCAAGCCACCCCAAAATACGACCCTGTTGATGCCTATATTCATATAACATTTCCTATAAAAAATTTTTAAATTATTTAAATTGGTAGATTTTCCCTTAAAAATTTTCATCAGTAGGGTGTATGACCTTAAAAATATTTCATATTTAGATTCACATCGTGTAGTAACAAAATTATAGTAATTATTACAATCAAATCAATAGTATTCCAGTAAGTTTTGCGTTAACTCTCCTTACAACTTATTGTTTTAAAATTAAATTATTTAATTGTGATATTCAAATATACCTAGTTTTGTCCTTTAAATGAAAATATTGTTCATAAATGACTTATTTAAAATTAGCAAAGTAAATACTGCATAATGTGCCAAAATATGAAACTGGGTGATTGTTGTGTAAAATAGGAGCCTTTTATCTTACTCATTAGCACTGAATATTCAAAGTAATGTTTGTTTGTAGCATTTATATATCATAATAATAGTAGTCACATGGTACAAATAGAGGGGTGCTTTTACTATTTAGCACTTTTAAAAATTTACATTAACAACCATAACCTTTTTTACTATATGCGAACTATATTACCAATTAACCACCGAGATGTGTTCTCTTGTTGCCTGTAGTATTAAAATAAAAATCACTAAAAACTATTTAGTAAATTTAATATTTTATGTGTATTATTTTACATGTTTTTGATAATTAATAATTAAGTTTATCATGATAGTAAAATATAATTTTTTTTTAACATAAGTTATAAACTTTTAGTAATGTTATTTTTAAATAAGATATTAAAAATTATTAATAATTAATAAAATGTCAACATAACTTAACTTCTAATGATGTTTATAATAGTAGCAAATTACTGTATACAAATTTTGATTTAATTATTACATAAACTTTTTATTATTTGTTGATAAGTGTTAACAAGACTGCCCCAAAGATTAAAACAAAAGCTAGGGTAGAAATCTCGACTCTTCCATCTTTAATGAGTTTTTATTATAATACTAAACATGAAGTATTTTTAATCGAGCCTTTATTTATTTATTAATTATAAAAATTTACAACAGTTTAACTCAGTAGTTTTTATAATTATTAAAATTTCAGCTTTAAAATATTTCTAACATATTAAAGAAATTTTAATATAATAATTAAATTATAAAATATTCAATATTATTTCAAAATTAATAAAATTATTAAACATCGCAATTTTAATTCTGTATTTTATAAAAAAAAAATAATTTTTACAGAAATTCAACAAGTTTTAGCAGTTCAATAATCAGATTCAAAGAATCTAAATTTAGTCTGCCTCGCGTTGAGAAGTTTTTTAAAGAAGCGCCATCTATGTTACGCTGCAAAATCATATATTATTAACGGGTTTTNTATATATATATATATATTCATATAAAATTCTATATTTAGAATAAATCACTTACAATTAAAAAAAAATAAAAGTTTTGTAGTAATTATTTTTTTTTTAATATTGAGCCGATAAAAGAGTTATCAATTTAGTATATGTTCACCTCTAGTTGGTAATACTGGATATGGTGCAATACCCATTTGTACCGTTGTTATCAGCTGCTGTTGCTGTTGTCTGTACATTTTAACGTTTCTGTGGTTTTTAAATATGTGAGTGTTCTCTCTAACCTACAAGCTCATGCATTGCTCTACGTACTTCTACACACCGTAGATAGTTAATATGTATGCTCATACAATATGAATACTCTACTATTCATAATTGTGCTCTCAAACAAAACCACATTGTTGCTATGAACAATGTAGACACTATTCTACAGTTTTAATGCACTGCTGTCTTATGCAGAGGATTCAATGAAATGGAGAATATCAGCTCAGATAACCAAGTCAATGCACAGCTCATGTGATTTATGAAGGAGGCAGATCAGCTATAGCATCATTCAATACCCAAACACCAGAGAGAGTATTTGTTGTATCCCTTAGCTCATAAGGCCACAACATCATTTAAATATAATACTTAATCATTTAAAGGTTATGTACTTTATTTTAGGTTAAGTATTATCGGTCCACATGATCCTTATAAGCTATTGACGCCAACCGTTTATTTAGGAGTGTCATTGCGCAACAAATATTTTTAATAAAAATTAAAGTACCTTTAAACTCTTTTTCAAACTATAAAATATTGAGAGTAAAAAGAGAGAGAATATTGAGAGTAGAGAGTAAAATGTAAAGTAATTAACTTCAACCCCAATACGGCACGGGATGGATTTGGTTGATAGAGTCCAAATTTCACAGTACAGGTTTTTTATATTAAGAAAAATATAGGAGTGGGGTGAAAAGAATCTTACTCTGTAGTTAGGAGTTGTACGTGAGAAAAATGATTCTTTCTTCTATTATACTTCCACTAAATTATATCTTAAGTTAATAATTATAATTCTTTATAATGTAGTGGAGATTAATTTTTCGATTTTNTATATATATATATATATTCATATAAAATTCTATATTTAGAATAAATCACTTACAATTAAAAAAAAATAAAAGTTTTGTAGTAATTATTTTTTTTTTAATATTGAGCCGATAAAAGAGTTATCAATTTAGTATATGTTCACCCCTAGTTGGTAATACTGGATATGGTGCAATACCCATTTGTACCGTTGTTATCAGCTGCTGTTGCTGTTGTCTGTACATTTTAACGTTTCTGTGGTTTTTAAATATGTGAGTGTTCTCTCTAACCTACAAGCTCATGCATTGCTCTACGTACTTCTACACACCGTAGATAGTTAATATGTATGCTCATACAATATGAATACTCTACTATTCATAATTGTGCTCTCAAACAAAACCACATTGTTGCTATGAACAATGTAGACACTATTCTATAGTTTTAATGCACTGCTGTCTTATGCAGAGGATTCAATGAAATGGAGAATATCAGCTCAGATAACAAAGTCAATGCACAGCTCATGTGATTTATGAAGGAGGCAGATCAGCTATAGCATCATTCAATACCCAAACACCAGAGAGAGTATTTGTTGTATCCCTTAGCTCATAAGGCCACAACATCATTTAAATATAATACTTAATCATTTAAAGGTTATGTACTTTATTTTAGGTTAAGTATTATCGGTCCACATGATCCTTATAAGCTATTGACGCCAACCGTTTATTTAGGAGTGTCATTGCGCAACAAATATTTTTAATAAAAATTAAAGTACCTTTAAACTCTTTTTCAAACTATAAAATATTGAGAGTAAAAAGAGAGAGAATATTGAGAGTAGAGAGTAAAATGTAAAGTAATTAACTTCAACCCCAATACGGCACGGGATGGATTTGGTTGATAGAGTCCAAATTTCACAGTACAGGTTTTTTATATTAAGAAAAATATAGGAGTGGGGTGAAAAGAATCTTACTCTGTAGTTAGGAGTTGTACGTGAGAAAAATGATTCTTTCTTCTATTATACTTCCACTAAATTATATCTTAAGTTAATAATTATAATTCTTTATAATGTAGTGGAGATTAATTTTTCGATTTTTCAAAAGCCATTATGGCCCATTATCACAACACATACTGGTGTCCATCTATCCTTTTTCTCTGATACTGTTCACCAATCGTCGCTGAGTACTGTATACTAAACATCAAATTATGAAAAAAAATTATACGAACAAATTGTTTAACATTCTTTTTCCTATTGCATCAACAAACTAAAAATAAATTTCCACTAAATAAAAATTAGGTTTTTTAGCCTTTAATACTGTTATTATTTTTTACAAGACAATTTGTAGATAAGTTTGAAGATTCATGAGGATGGAACCCAACCGTTGGGTACAAGGACCAACGCCTTCAAAATTAATGTTTATAAACTAACGGATTTCTTTAATGTCATCACTAAAAATCATTAAAAAAATAGCTTACCCGCATTTTTAAATATGGAATAATTTTTTTAACTGTTAAATTTTTGTAAAAAATAATTCTGGAACCTCTCAAAAAAAAATCATATTTTAAATAGTATCATTCTTTGATCAGATTCAAGCTGTTTGAAAAAAATGTCAAATTTATAATGAAGAAAAAATATTTGCTGAGCTTTAATGATCGCTCACACCTAAATAGAGACTCAAAATTACATTGTTGACTTACCAGGCATAATACCAAATTGGTTTTTAGATACCTAAGTTTCATTTTTTATTCTCTTATCTATTACCTTTTCAAAATTTTCACAGTATAGCTCAAAATCTTTATGCCTCTATAATTACCACCACTCCAATCACGTTCTCTTATACTTAGTTACAAGCATACTTAGTTCAGTGAATAACATGTTTGTCCTTGGGTATATTAGTACCAGGGTTTAATTCTGCT